TTTTTTAATTTTTTTTTTTTTATTTAATTTTTTTTTTTTTTTTTTTTTTTTTTTTTTTTTTTTCGTATTTTTTTTATTATTTCTTTTCTTTTTTTTTTTTCAATTTTATTTTATTTAATAATTTTTTTTTATTTGAAAATATAAATAAAATGAATACATTAGACGAAAAGTTTAAGAAAAATAATTTATGGGATAATAATGACATGAATATAAATGAAGAAAATGTAAATTTAATATATAATAATGAACAAGAGAGTCTACTAAAAAATGAATTTAATGATAATATTTATATAAATGAATATTCTAGAAGAAATAATGTGAATATTTATTATGATAATGAAAATGTAAATAATAAATGTGAAATGAATGATAATCATCTCAATAAAAACTTAGATACTTCTAATATAAATGTTATAAAAAAAGGATATGATTATAATACTCACTTAACTAATGTAAATAACTCTATTAATTTTAGTGATATTAATATAAATAATAAATTAAATAATGCAAATACTCCTAATAATTCTCACAAAAGTGAATTTTTTGAAAAAGAATTTAATTTAAATGATGAAGAAAATAATTATAAAGATAATATAGATGGTAAAATGAATATAATTAACTCAAATACAAATATCAATAATAAAGATAACTCTTTTGAATTATTCCCATTTTTTAAAAGTTTAAATAATATTAGAACAAAATTATTATGCTATTATGACATAGATAATGATGTTATTATATATAGATGTATGTGTGCATTATTACCATATTTAAATGTAGATAGAACATATGAGGAAATTAATAATTTTAATGATATTGAGAAAAATGTGAATGAAACAGATTATGAGAAAAATACTGATAAAACTATTAATCAAAATGAAAATGAAAATAAAAGAGAAATAAGTAATGTTAATGATGCTTTTGATTATTATGATAATAAATTATGTATTGAAAGAAATCCAGATATTTATAGTTTCATTTGGCTAAATTCTTTTGTGTGTTTCCTTGTTTTTTTTCTTTTTAATATGAAAAATCTATTTTTTAATGATATATCATTAGATGAAGTGGAGGATAATATTAAAAAAACAAATTATATTGTAGATAATAAACTAAATATACTCTATATTATTTTAATATTTGTATTTTTATTTAATACTTTCATACCAATACTAATATATACAATTGTATATTTAATAACTAAAAAAAAATGTCCATTTAAATTATTATTTCTTATTTCATTAGTGAGTTATAATAACATAAATTTACTTCCTGTTCTTTTTATATATAAAATTACAAATATTGAAACAAATATAATTTTTTTACATTTTTTATATAAAACTATCCATTTGTTGGTTTTTCTTTTTTATATTTGTACCACTACTTTTTATATTTATAAGTTTACTAATAAAATTTTCAAAAATCATTTTTCGGATGATTTAATATATCTTATTTATACAACTTTTTTAATATCATACATATTTTTTTACTTTTTATTAAAAAGTTACATATTCAATTATTTATAATATATATATATATATATATTTATTTATTTATTTATATATTTATATATTTTCATTTATGAATATTTTTTAAAATTTTGTTTTTTTTATTACGAATTTTATTTTTATATATGCAAATTTTTTTTAACAGTATAACTGTCTTTGTAATTTCTTTTATTTACATTTGTAATAGTTAAGTATATTAAACATTACTTTTTAAAAAAATAAGTGTGTGAAAAAAAATGTATTTTCTTTTTTTTTTTATTTTTTTTTTTTTGTTGATATATATATATACCTATATATAAATATATATTCATAATTATATGAAAAGGTAGATTTTTTAATTTATTCATAAATATTTTATTATTATCTAAATTATTTAAAAAAAAAAAAAAGGGAAATAACAAAAATGCCATAAGAAAATTACACAAATAAGAAAAAACAAATTAAAAAAAAAAATACATTTAAGAGTATTAAAAAAAATAATTATAATATATGTAAATGACAAAAATAAAAAGTAAATAGATTAGATAAAAAAAAAAAAATAAAATGAAAAAAAATGTAACAAAATATAGTAGTATTAAAACATTTTATTCTATTAAAAAAGTTATATTCATTTATATAAAAGATAAATTTAGGTAATTATTGCTTACAGAAATAAAAAAATAAATAAATGGAAAATAGCCAATTAAAAAGACAGTAAAATATATAAATAAATTTGGACATTATTTAAAAAAAACAAATAAATAAGGAATAAATATATAATATAAAAAAAAATATATATATAAATAAAATAAATTGGATAATGTAAATACGAAGTATATATTATAAATCATCATTATTAAAAAGATTAATTGTTTCTTCATTTCCGTTAATAATGTTATAATTTTTATAATATCTCCAATGTTTATATAATTTAATTAGTAGAAAAATAAATGCACATGTTATACAAAAAACAGTGAGTATAAAAATGAAAGTAGCAATGTTATCTTTTTCGGTAGAGGAAATTTTATATGAATCTATATAGGAAGGATGTTTATTATTATTTTCATTATTCAATGATTCATTAAAATTATTATATGTATTATTCTTTTCTTTTTCTTCATTAAATCTATAATTAAGAACAATTTTATCAACATCATAAAATCTAAAAAAATAAGAGGAAAATTAAGAACAATATATTATTTATATGAATATATATATATTATTGTTTTTTTTTTTTTTTTTATTACCCTTCTTGATTTGTAAGTTTGTGTGAATAGTAGTTATTTTTATTTTCCTCTTCAACATTTTCTTTTTCAACCTTTATTAAAAAAGAATCATTTTTACTTTCTTCATATATTTGATGATCTTCAAAAAATTTTGCTTTTTCTTCCTTGTTCATTACAACATTATAATTTTTCTTATCAACTTGATTTATATCGTCATTTAAAAAAGTAAATTTTAATTTTTTTTTAATTTCTTCATTTAAATTAATATTTTTATCAAATTTTAAAGAGAATTCCTGTTCAATATGAGTCATTTCTTCTGTTAATAAAGTTATTTTATACACTTCAATACTTCTATATTTAGTTATTCTCTTATTCTTTAATTCTAAAATATTTTTTTTATAGTCTTCTAAATATATATTTTCATTTGTTTTTCCCCAAAATATTAGATCAATCTAAGAAGAAGGAAAAAAAAAAAAAAAAAAAAATTCGAAAAAACTTTTAAAATATTAAAAGATAAAATAAAATTTTTTTTTTTCTTATTTTTCATGTATTACATAAAAAGTATAATTTTTATCAATATATATGGAATTATGAGGAAAAACATCTAATAAAAATGTATTGTTATTTTTTTCATTAATAAATTCAATAATTTGAAGTTCTAAATAAAAAGGAAAATTAAAAGTATGTAAATCAGTAGCATTTTCAATTAAATCATATAGATAAATTTCTAATTGATAATTTCCTTTTTCTAAGTATAAACTAATATTTTCAAATATATTAATAGTATAATTGTCTAAATTTACTGCCATTTTATTACTATTAGAAATAATTGTATTATTTTTTATTAATTTAATATCAAAACTAACTAAAGAAAAATTATAACCAATATTTATTTTAAAGTAACAATTCTATAAAAAAAAAAAAATACAATAATATGTAAAATATTCTATGAAAATTTTAATAGATATACATAAAGTCATAATTTTTTCAATACATCTGAACATCTTCTAAGGATATATACATATATGTTAAATTTTTTTTTTTTTTTTTTTTTTTTTTTTTTGTTGTATATCTAACCTCTTCAATTTTCAATGGAAATGTAAAAAAATTTTGATGATTATTATGTCTTAAAAAAACAATTTCTGTGTTTAAATTTATGTAAGAATAATTTGACATTTTTTTTTCATTAAATATTATTCCTTCATATTTTTTTATTTTTTTAGATAATGTATCAAATATTTCATTAAAATATTTATCAATATAATGAAAATCATTGTAGTGATTTAGCTCATTATAAAAATTAATAGGATAAAGAATTAAAATTAATTTGAAGTAATTACAATCAACATTATTTGATTGTATGAGTATTTTGAAATTTTTTTTAATTTTATATAAATTTAACATATATTTTTCATTTTCATTAGAATATAATGGCTTAACATATGAATTATCTTCTTCATTCTCAAATTCATTTTTTATATCTCCTAATTTTTCTTCATCTAGAATAACACGAATTCTAATGGTATTATGCATTTTTAAAAAATGATTCATATAGTTAGATGAAAAATCATAAAAATTGCTAAATTCTTTATTTTCTTCATCTATATTTTCTATATGCTCATTAATAAAAACAAAGAAAATTTTTAAAAAATACGTATCTTCAGGAATTGTAAAAAAAATTTCATGATGAAAGTTACTAATAAAATATTTATCAAAATTTTGAAAATATTTATTTTTAAATTTAGAAATAACTACATTTCTATTTATAGAATAATCATTTTTATTTATATCTACTAAATTTACTTTATTAAATAAATACTTATAACTATTTATCTTGCAGTTATCATTGTGAACATATTTTTTCGTCAAGATATTCACATTAGAATTTGATTCATTCACATTTGGTAATATTTTATTATTTAATACAATAAATAATATAATTAAATCAAAAATAATATTTTTTATATAGATATCTTTTGATGAAGGAAAAGATAAGTATATTTCATATTCACCCTTGTCTAAATCAGTTGTGATAAAATTTTTGTCTCTATTGAAAATTTTAAAATAAGAATCCTTCGATCTTATTGATAAATGAAATGGATATATAAAAAGATAAAAATGAGGTTTTATTTCTATATAGATTTGTGAATATACTTCTATAGTCATATTAAAAAGTTTATAATTATTATTACTAGAATTATTTGTACTATAACTATTTGCATTACTATAATTGTTATTCCATCGATCATTTAAACAAATATAAAATCTTTTATAAACTAACAAATTTTCATAATTATTTCTTATAATAGCTTCCATATTATTATCTTCATAAGTTTTAAAAAGTTTTTTATTCATAATTTCTTCCAGAAAAAATGTTATACTATCTAAATTTTTGTTATAATAAAAAGTGTTTTTAGTTTCATCACATTGTAATTCTTTATCAAAAAAATAATAAATTTCATTTTTCAATATATTATTACTAAAATCATATGAAGATAAAGCATCTTTAACATTAGAATTTATTAAATTTTTTTCATATATATCTTTTCTTAGATAACTTTGTTCTTTCACTAATTTGTCTTCATATTTCCATATTATACTAAATTTTACAAAAAAAGGTACAAAATTATTCTCATACTTAAATATATATACACCTTTTTCTAAATATGTAGATATATATATATGTTTATTAGAAAAAGAAAAAATTTCTTCAGATTCTGGAGGAATGTCTTTATTGATTTCATCATATATAATTCCTTCATTTTCTAATTTTTCATTATTCAAATATTTAAAAATTTTCAAAGTAATATCATAATTTTCTCTAAAATGATAAATAATAAAAAAGGAATTATTTTCTACCAATAAAATGGTTGTATTATTATTAATTATTTGGAAAAAATAATTGATAGATTGATTAAAAATAAATGAATTAGGATTTTTAAAAGATATCGTTGCATTCTTTTCATGTTCTATTTTATTACTATTATTATCATCATTAATATGCTCATCTTTTGCATTGTAATTTTTTAAAAATATATTATTTAGTAACAATGGCATTTTAATTGTATTATAATTTAGAATATCATCAAAAATTATTTCAGAACGTTCTATTTCATTTATGTAGGTAATGTTTAAGTAAGCATAAGAACAATAATTATTTTCTAAATTTTTATCTATATCTTCATATAATTCTATATGCAATTTAAACAAATTAATGTCATTATTTAAAATATTTACTATCATTATGATTTTATTCTTATATGAATTGCTACTATGAATTAAAAAATTATCTTTGTTTTCTCCGAGTGTCATTTTATAAGGAAGGAAATTTTTATGAAAAATTAGCTCTATTTTTAAAAAAAAAGTATTATAATAAAAATTGTTAACATTAGGTAATTTAATACTCTTTACTGTTTTTTTATTAGGATAAAGAAAAAGAAATATTCTTTTAAAAAGATAATATGAATTTTGATTTTCATAAAAAAAAAAATTTTTTTTATTTTCAAAATTTTCTTTTTCATAATATCCTCTATAAGAACTGAGATCATAGAAAGAATCAGATGCATCTTTTAAATAGTAATCAGAATTTAATGAGTTATTAGTATCATTAAAAATACATTTATCTAGATAACTTAAATGATAAATATAAATTTGCAAATAAAAAAAGTAATTTTCATTTTTATCATTTTCTGAATTAAATTCAAAAATAACTTCATATTCTCCTCTTGTAAATGATTCTAAATAAATATGATTATATCCATCATATATTTTTTTTTCTTTATCCAATACATAAATATGAATATAATTATCTGTAAAACAATTTATTTTAATTATTGAATTATCCTGTAGATAAATAGTAAGAGAATGCCTTTTATAAAAAGGTATATAACAAAAATTAGAATACAAATAATTATCATAACCTATAATAAAATTTGGGATATAATTTATTTTTTCAATAGTATTATTGTAATACAGATTTCCTTTTTCTGAAATATGTTTCGTGTTTATAAATTCAATATCAACAAAAAAAAATCCACATAAATCTTTTTGTTCATAATGTAAATTGGGCGTAATTATATATATAGAACAAGAATTATAATATTTAAGTTTGTATTTCGTTTTTTTTCTTGATTCTTTATATATAGAATAATAACTTTCTCCATTAATGATTTCTACTATTACGAAAAATATATCAAGAAAAACTGAATTGTTTATGGTGATAACTAACTCATCAATATTTTCAATTATATTTCTCTCATAAAGAACTATAAAATCATAATCATGTAAAAATGGATTATTTAATATCCACTTTTTTTCATATAAATTGTAGTAAGTTTTAAACTCTGATTTATTTAAAGAATAATCGTCATCATCCAAACTCTTATTTATTTCTTCTTTATTCTCTTTATTTAAATGATAATAAAACAGTTCAGTAATTTCATTCATACGGTCACATTTGTGTTTTTCTTCATATATTTGCAATGGATGAATTAATAAATTGATCTCATTTGTACTACATATCATATTAAAACTTTCTACAGTTATCCTTAAATCGTATTCTCCTTTTTTTAATACACAATTTATATATATAATATTTTCTAGAGGAAATATTTTTAAGTTGTGTGTTTCCTCTTTTTCATTATGAAAAGTATCATTAAAATGCTTATATAAGAAATTAGTTTTATCTTTTTTTATATAATCATATAAATTATAATCGTTTATATTATTTAAATAGTATGTATTACAAACATTTTCAAAGTCATTTTTCTTTAATAGATTTATATATATATTTTCTGATTTAGAAGTTAAACTAAAATTAAACAATGAATCTTCATTAATTATTATGTTTATTTTTTGATCTTCTTCAAATAAGTTAACAGAGTCAAAATTTAAAATGAAATTATCATTTAATTCAATTATTTTACCATATATTATAAATTCATCAATCTCAGATAAACTACAATTATTTTTATTTTCATAACATTTTTTATTTGAAAAAATAGATGACATACTTTCTTCTTTCGTTTGAATAATTTTATTTGGTAAAAAGGAGTTATGAATACATTCATCAAAACGTTCTCTTATATAATCAACAAAGCTATAGTCGTTTGAATTATGAATAATTGAATATTCTAAATTAAAATGTATATATTCGTTATAATTAGTTGTAATATTTTCTTCTTTATTACTATCTATTTTATATTTAATTTGAAACTTATATACATAATTATTCTCTAATAAAGTATGCAAAAATATTCCATTTTTTGTATGTTTACTCTCTATACATTTGTCATTACATGTTTTATCATCATATGCATATTTTAATATTCTTTCTATGCTCATATTATGTAAGTAACTTTTACTTAATTTAACTTTTTTTAATTCAAAAAATATATTTTTAAAATTTTTTACATCATGAGTTAAAAGAGAAAAAAAAGTTATATTAGTATGTTTATTAAAATCAATGAAAAACAAAATACTATAAATAATTACAATTTTATTATATTTATCATCCATATAATAATCATCTGTTTCATTTATATTAAAATTATAATCATCGTTTGATACATAATAATAATTATCTTTAATTATAATATAATTTTTATTGTGAAGTGGTAATTTATTTTTTTTTGTTTTTATTTTTTTATCCTTTAGGTTATCTATGGTTCTTATATTCATTTCAAGTATTATATTTACACAAATATCATTATTTGGAATATATGAGGTATTGATAACAAAATAAAAAGTTCTCTTTTTATTTTCATTCATACTTTTATCGAATTCAATAATTTTTATAAATTTAATTTCATTATTAATAGCGTCTTTTTTTGTAATTAACACATTTTTGTGAGTGTATTCGTATAATTCTACATTTTTTATATATGTGCTATGTAAATAAAAATTTATAAAAATTTCATTATTAAAATACTCAAAATATAAATAATTAACATTCCATCTTATAGAATAATTATTTGATATATTAATTTCGTTTAATAAATTAGAATGTTGTGGATTATTTAAATAAAATGGTAAAATATTTTTACATTCATTTTTTAATTTATCATAATTCTCATTAACATTTCTTACAAAATTATTGTTACAAACACAAATATAAAATAAAAAAAAAAAAAAAAATTTGCTTTTTCTTTTTTTATCCATTTTTACACATATTTTTTATGCATCTTTTTTATGTAATTTATATAGGTGTGTACAAATACAAATATTTTTATTATATATTCTCTAAATATCCATTCATTTTTATTATTATTTTTATTATTATTTTTATTATTATTTTTATTATTATTTTTGTTATTATTTTTATTATTATTTTTGTTATTATTTTTATATATATATTCTTTATTCATTTTATATATACACATATATATATATTTATTACACATAACTTTTTTTTTTTTTTTTAAGCCATTAACATTTCATAAACATTTTTTAAAATTAAATATTTGGATATTGGAAAAAAAAATAAAAAAAATAAATAAATAAATAAAAAATATATAAAAAAAAAAAAAAAAAAAAAGTTAAAAATATTCTTAAAAAATAAAACTTATATATATATATATATATATATATATGCTAACATATTATATCAACTTAATTTACTAGATTGTTTTGTTATCATTTTTAGCATACATGTATTATTTTTAATTACTATTAAATTGTATACATATATATATACATATAAATGTTATTTTTATTTATTTATTTATTTATTTTTTTTTTTTTTCTATCTCTCTCTATATATATTCATTTATTAATGTATTATTTCATATATATTTTTTATTCTATAGATAAACTTTTTCTTCATAATTTAACTAATTTATTTTTTTTATTTATTTTGTTAAAGTAATATAAGTATTTTTAATAGCTTATTTATCTTTTAATGTATTCATTCTCTTTTTTTTTTTTTTTTTTTAATTAACAAAATATTCGGAAAGTAATAAAGGCAACAACCTTTTTAATTAATATATTTTGTAATTTCTTATTATCTTAATTTTCTAATATTTTTTTTTTTTTTAGGAAGTTTTATATAAAATTTTAGTAACTGCATATTTGTTTTATGATATTTTAAATATTACTTTTGTTAATAATAATGAATAAAGTTATATTTTTTAATATTTATTAAAATAATTGGTATATATTAAAATAAATTTTTTTTTAAACTTGAAAAAATAACTATATGTGTATTTCATGATTTTGTTTAATCTTTATGTAGCTATAATACAATAAAACCATTAGTTACTCATTATTTAATAAAAATGTTTACTTAAAAAAAAAAAAAAATAAAAAGAAAAGAAAAAGAAAAGAAGAAGATTCTAGAATGCTATTATATGCAAATTCTTTTAATTATGACGAAGTTTATTTTTTTCTTATCTAATGAATATATCTAATTGTAGATCTGTTGAAAAAATATTTGATGATTCTACTTTTAATAAAATTGAGAGGTAAACGAAAAAAAAAAAAAAAATAAATAAAATAATAAAATATATAATAATAATAATAATAATAAAATATATAATAATAATAATGTTTCTTTTTTTTCTAATATTTTTTTCTAATATTTTTTTCTAGTATTTTTTTCTAAAATTTTTTTCTAATATTTTTTTTCTAAAATTTTTATAGAAAAAAATTAGAATTTGATAATAAAAAACTAAATAATTTTTTTGAGAATGGAATAATAAATTACAGTTTAGTTGAAATAATCGGAAATTGTGGAAGTGGTAAAACTCAGTTTGCTTTAACATTATGTGCAGAACACCTTTTAAAAATTTTTGATATAAATAAAAATATAAATGATTTAAACTTAAAAAATAAAGAAAATATTATTTTTTACATTTATATTAATAGAATGTTTCCAATACATAGACTAATTGAAATTATTGAAAAAAAAATTCAAGAAAAAGAAAACAATCAAAACAAATGTTATGTATATGAAGACATATTTAAAGATAATAATTTACATAATAATACTACAAGAAAAAATAATTCTAACAATAACTGTTCAAGTAAAAATTCCTTTGATGAAAAACAATTTAATTATTCATTTAAAAGGGATTTAAGAGGTATATTAAGAAATTTATATATTCAAAAAATCAATGATGAAAAAGATTTGTTTATATTATTTGAAAAAGATATTTTTTATATATTAAAATATTACAAAATATCATTACTCATAATTGATTCCATTAATTCTATATTTAATGCAAATCAGAAATTAGACAATTATAAAAAAAATCAATTATTTATCAAAATATCCTTAATTTTAAAAAAAATTTCATATGAAAATAATTTTTTTGTATTATTAATTAATAGTCTATATATTAAAAAAGAATACAACGACTTTTCTTTTAATATTGCTGATTTTATTATTAGTTCTTCTTGTGCTAATACTATTTTGTTTTTTAAAAAAATAAAAAAAAAAAACGAAATTATTAGAAAAATAATTATTCACTATTCAGAATTTTTGAGTAAATATAAAACTTTAAAATTTGAAATTACAGATACAGGATTTAATGTATTATAATTTTTTTTTTTTTTTTTTTTTTATATATATATATATTATTACAATTAGTTTTATTCATTTATATTTTTACATATTACTTTATTTATTAAAGCTATAATATTTTTATAATATTATTTTTCACCTTTTCTATTAAAAATATGTATATCCATTTAAAAAAAAAAAATAAAATAAAATAATTTTTTGGTTTCTTTTTATGGTCAAATATTTACAATAACGAAATTTTTATAACATATAAAAAATTTATATGAAGTTTAAAAAAAAAAAGAAAAACATGTAAAAAAATAAGAAATAAAATATATAACATATATCTAAAAAAAAAAAATAAAAAAAACAGATAAATAAATATTATAAAAACATGAAATAAATAATTGAAAAAAAAAAAAAAAAAAAGAGTATATAATAAAGATAGATGTTTTATTTTTAAATTGGCAATCTTTTATTATTTACAATATAATTAGACATTTGTTTAATTCCTGGTAATTCTAAAAGGAAACTAAAAGGAGAATATTTTATGAAATTTACTATATTAGGTAAGAAAGAAAAAAATAATTTATATATCCCATAAGCTTGAAACAAAAAACCAATAAAAGTTCTACTAAAAATAATTAGTAATAAACCAATAATAAAACATGCACTACCAGCTATTTTTTTTCTATTCATAAAAAATCTTAATATTTTTCTAATACCAACTAAAAAATATAAACCTAGTAAAAACAGTATATTAGAAATACATAAAAAGAATTTATCAAAAAAAAGTGCTATTCCTATAAATCCAAATACTATTCCTAATAAAAATAGTAGTAATCCTACCGTTTTATTTTGATCTAACATTTTTTTGATCCTTCACATTTACAAAAAAATTTCATCTATTTTTTTTTTTTCTTCAGAAATTTTTTGTTCTTTTCCTTATATATATTCCTTACTATATATATATATATATATATAAATAAATATACATAGTTTTTTTTCTTTTTTATTTTTTTTTTTTCTGTTATTTTAATTATTAAATCATTTCAATTGTTATAATTTCCATTAATTTACTTGATATTATAAAACCTTCATTATTTTGAAATTTTTTTTTTTTTTTTTCTTTTTTTTGTTCATTCAATTTTGTTCAAATATGTTCTAATAATTTCATATGTTTCATAAAATTTATCAAATAAAAAAAAAATTAGATATATTAATATTAATAAATTTTTTTTATTATTTTCTTTTAATTAAAACAATTTAATTAATGAACAAAAAAATAATTTATAGTTTATGTTATTACTACTAAATTTTTTTTTTTTTTTTTTTTTTTTTTTTTTAAAAAAAAAAATAAAAAAAAAAAAAAAAAAAAAA